GGGCTGGCCCATGGGCTGCGTGATGCCCCCAACTCCCCCAACTTCAGCATCTGTTGAATTTCCTCCTCAATAGCTCGCCGACGAGCCTCAGGGAGCCGTTGCCTGGAACACATCAGAGAACTGACCGACCAGGTGCTGCAGCTCCCTCTTCTGGGCAGCCGAGAGGTGGGGGTTGACGTCAACAACCACGGGATCAGAGATGGCGGCGAGCTGGTCTCTAGTCCCAACCCACTTCTTCAGAAGGTTTATGTGGTAGAGCTGCTCGGCTCTCCTCCTTCCTGGCTGACGCACCCGGTACGTCACCGGCCCAATCTTCTCCAGCACCGTATAGGGACCCTGCCAGGTGGCCAGGAACTTGCAGGCAGCATTGGGGACTAGGACCATGACTCGGTCTCCGGGCTGGAACTCCCGTGGTTGGGTTGCCCGGTTGTAGTGGCGCTGTTGAGCCTGCTGCGCTTTGGTTAGGTTTTCCCGGACTAATGGCATGACCCGGTCGATCCTTTCCCTCATCTGTTTTACGTGCTCGATCACAGAGCGATGGGCTGCCGGCTGTTGCTCCCAGGCCTCCTTCGCCACATCCAGGAGGCCGCGGGGTTGCCGGCCAAAGAGGAGCTCGAAGGGGGTGAAGCCAGTTGAGGCCTGCGGAACTTCGCGGATCCCGAAGAGGACATAGGGGAGCATCAGGTCCCAGTCGCGCTTGTCCTCCGCGACCACCCGTCTCAACATCTGCTTGAGCGTTTGATTGAAGCGTTCGACCAGTCCGTCGGTCTGGGGATGGTAGACTGTGGTCCTCAACTGCTTCACCCGCAACAGCCGGCAGAGGTCAGCCATTAGCCGGGAAATAAAGGGGGTACCCTGGTCAGTCAGGATCTCCTTACAAAACAAAAAGTTTTATATAATTTTTTTAAGAAAATGGATGAATCAATTAAGAAATTTGAATCAATTATTATATTAATTTAAACAATTATTATTAATCACTGCATCAATTAAATAATAATACAAATGTAATGTATGTCTTAATTGTTTAGATTTTTATAATGCATTACCTTCTTGTCGATCCACCTGTTCACATTTACAACTCTGCGTGTTTGCAGCATCAAAACATGGGTTAATTTTCACATTTGGTAAATTTTCCTTCATTGGTCAGCAGGAGGCGTTTATCTATGTTTATTGTGAGATGTAGTAACTATAGCAACCGCGGCGCCAATTGCTGTATGTTACCAGGAACTACCGTGAAACGCTTAGTATAAACACTTAGGTAAGGGTGACAGTTAAGATGTTTGTTGCAACGCTCTTAAAGAAATCCCTTACCTTAGGGATTTTTCCCCCCTCAGGAATACCCCTAATGCCTCGCTCACACTACAGGATTTTTATCCCGATTTTGCCCCGATTTCCCCCCTCCCGAGAATCGGAGCAAAAATCATGTCGAGCACCTCGATCGGTCCGATGTTCGGCGCGGATTATCTGATAATGTGAGGCATTCACCGATCGAATCTTGCACCTCCCGATCTGCTTGCACACAAATCGGGGCCGCCCCGATCATATCAAACATGTTTGATATTTAGGATTTAAATCGGGATGATGACGGCT